GAATATCTCCGAATGCTCTAGCTATGTGTATCTAGGTCGGGAAGTCAACATGATGAACGACCTAGCTCCAGAGCTGTGCAGAAGGAAACGCGCCGCGTGGGGAGCATTTAAGAATATCGAGGGAGTGGTGAAGAAGACAAAGAACGTCCGGCTCCGCGCTCACCTTTTCGACACTGCTGCCCTTCCTGCTTTGACGTACGCCTCGGAGACCTGGACTCTACGAAAGCACGATGAGCATGCTGTCAGCGTTATTCAACGCGCTTTGGAAAGGACGATGCTCGGAATTTCCCTATACACGCAAGGGCAGAAGGGAATCCGGAGTTCCGAGCTCCGTCACCGAACGAAGATCAGGGATGCCGTTGATTACGCCAAGAAATCGAAGATCAGGTGGGCCGGACACGTTATGCGATATAGTGATGACCGTTGGACCAGGGCGGTTACTGACTGGATCCCTCGGGACATCAAACGAACTCCAGGAAGGCCGCCGACGAGATGGTCAGACTTCTTCACGAAAGCTCTGAACGAAAGGAATGTTGAACCTCGTGTCCCTGAAGCGAGAACGGTTCACTGGACCACTCTGGCTCGTGACAGGGACGAATGGAGACGTTACTGGCGCCCGCTCGAGGAATTCGGTGATCAACGGGACGACAAGTGATACAAGTGATACAAGCGATGTGTATTTGCGTGTAAGTGTATATGTGTGAATGTGTATGTGTAAAGAAGTTAGATAGCAGGATGGGAACACTGATGGTAGGTTATAGGGAATGAGAACTGTCGAAAAAGACAATGAGCCTCAAAAGCCACAGGTCCCTTTACCTTTTTTTCGTAAAGTCTTGGTTCTCTAATAAGTGGCGTGAAGTGTGAAAGTACCATAAATGATTGGTAACAGGGATTGTTAACAATCGATAGGGACTGATAACGAGCTTCAGAAGGCGAGAGACATTAGTCCTCCAGAGGATCACCTTTTCCCGCAGAAAATTTTACATACTAGGAAGAAATGGGACGTTTGGATGTTCGGACACACTTCATTCTCTGTCAGCGAAACGAATTCCATGTGATCCACGGATGAAAAAAGTAGTGAACGAGAAAAAACCAGCATAGAACCAGTGATACCGCTGCGATAACAGATCAGCTTAAACTATTTAAGCTCTTTTTCAAAACAAAGCTGTCCATTTCGCCTTACACCACTTCTACCTGGTAGCCCTTCTCGCAATGTCCTCTTCCCCATCGTTCGTGATACAGTTGTTGCTCAGTTTGGAACGAATGGGAAATAATGATGCCTCCCTTTTCAGCTGGGACACCTGGGATGTGGACGAGAGATTTGTAAGGCAAATCATCGAAGTAAGTAATCAAACTTCGCAGATAATGGTGACAGATTAACATCTAGTCGAATTTAGGCAGCGAACCGACGAGCAGGCAAAATTATAACCGACGAAGACAAGGCACGTCGACAACGTCAAATGAAAAACGCCGAGAAAGTGAAGGAGCTTGCAATGGCTATATCAAAAAAGAACAATTCCGTAGCCGAACGAGTGAGTAGCTACCTGTTGAGTGGGAGTGGGCAAGCCAAACCCACCATAAAGTCGCTCTGAAGGAATGAGATCGCTTGTTTTCTAAGGTCAGGTTTGAAATCGAGGGTCGAACTGGATTCTTATAACCTTCCCTGACCTAGGGAACTAATTCGTTGACAGATAGGAGTAGGGCATAGATAATGTTAATGACCAGTCGGGTCGCCCGGGCCTTATTCCTTACTTTTACCAAGTAGTTGGAAAGTGTAGTTAGGGAAGGGGGCATTGGTTTTATCCAACACTGAGGGCTAGAGTGCAGAGGAGGGGTAGCCGATCTGACTTGAACTTAGAAACGGTTCTAGGGTAAAACATATGGTCTCAAACTAATTCTCAATAGGAGAGGAGCGGCGTGGTATACATAGCACGATGCCGGTACAGATCGAAATCACAGTTTCAAAGTACCTACTTCACTTTACATCACTCACTTCACTCACTCTACTCCATCAACCTACCCACCAACTTATCTATAAGAACGAAGTGTATGTAGAATAGAGCTAGGTTTTCCATATCACTACCTTCATGGTAATCATAAGTTTTGCGGTCGGACAGACCGACAAACCGACACACCGACAAACTTACAAACCGACACCACAAGATTCTGCTTTATAAATGAAAGAGATACCCGACCGAGCAAATTCGTATACCGACGTCGGGAGCAGCACCATTTAACAAGAGAGAAATAACAATGGAACCTGGTCTGTCGAGTATACAAACAGCCCTTTTGCCACTTGCGAAATCAAACTAAATACACTGATATGTGGACTACATCAGGATGCTTTTGACTTTGCCTTTCTTCGGCCTTTAGTTAGTTCACTCGAGTCAATTGCTGAATATAGCGTTTTTTCTCTTTCCTCCCTCCTGACCCCACCCAATTTTCTCGAGTATTCTCGGTTCTGTACCTACTGTTCAACGAATTCTAAGTCCACCATAACAGCCTAATCATCGATATCTATCCAATTCAAAAAACGTCTAATAGTTCTAGCCAAGTTAAGGTTCGCTGCTACATTCGCCACTCACAAGAAGTGGAAGAGGATATACGCAAGCTTACGCAGAATATGATTGAAGTCAGTATTTACTTACTCAAGAAAACTTTGAAAACTTCTAGGATGAGCCATCCCTGACTCAGTTCAAGGAAAAGGCAAATCATGATCTGTATTGCCNCCCCCCCCCCCCCCCCCTAGAGATAGTCTATTATCTGGAAGACACATTCCGTCCCTATGTGTGGGTGTGGATGTCGGTGTGTATGGGTTTGTGTGTGTGTATGTGTACGTATGTGTGTATGTGTGCACGTGTGCATGCGAGTGTACGAATGTGTTTGGGTGTATGCGCGTATGCATGTATATGTACAATATATGTGTGGATACGTATGTGTGTATGAGTCCTTGTGTGTATCTTTGCGATGGGCATAGACGGGCGGTGATAACACCACTATCAAGATTTTCTCTTCGAATGGTTGATCAGCTCTTCCCACTGAAACTTTTGTTATATCATAGGGCACTGCCGCTTCGAACAAGTTAGAATCTAAATAAAATAATAAATAATAATAAAATAATATAATATAATAATAACAAAATCTCTCTAGAAGTTCCCTTTGCATTCTCACCAAGTGGGTAGAGAAGTCACTAGTTCATTGCTTATTTAGGAAATGGACCCAGTGAGAAGAGCAGCTCTACAGGTGAAGGTTCAACGGTTAAAAGAAGAGTTTGATAAAAAGCTAGCTAAACATCGGCAAGTACTTCATAGCGATCTGGTGCGTATTGCACAGGTGACGTTAGCTGATTTTAGCTGATTTGAGGTTCCATTGTCGAAATTGTGGAATAATTCAATTTTGAGCACATTAAGTCATTCGATGGTAGCTTCAACCAGAGCGGTTAGAAGAGGCAGCGATGCCGCCCTTATCGGTGTCCCAGGTCTGAAATGAACTAGTGGAGGCCCCAACCAAAAGATATTACTGATGTTTTTGATGATTGCTGACTCATGTTCCCCAACCTCGAAGTCTCAAGGTCCATATCGATATCGTCAGGACAACACGACAAAGGTAGACAATCTGTAGAGAACACCCACTGGGATCTACGGAGGGGGTGGAGGGTGTTCAGAAACTGCAAAACTTTTCTGAGACGACCTATAGCTGAGCGCATTTTCCTGCTATGCATACATCAATGTTTACGTTTACAAACCATTCTATTCACTGCCTTTAAACAAAAACACCACACTCTGATGGCAAGCAAAAGAAAAGCATCAAAATGTCTTTTTTTTTTCTTCAGTGGCTACTGTAAGAATCATAAAGAAATCACACTCAGTAATGTAAAAATGGAGCAAACGGAAACTATTTCAGTGTACATATTTCCCCTTGTCTGAGATTGCCAGACTGGAAGATTCTATAGAACAGCTCCGAAAGGTCGACTAAAACCCGATATGGGACAGAACCGTATATTAACGAAGTATCGATCATGTAATTTTATTTTTATGGTTCGTATCATGATTGGAATAAAGTGTTTCGATGGTTAAAATCAGCCGTACGATAACATTCGTATTATATTTTAATTTTTATGAGTATTTTAATATGTAGCAGAAGCTTGGTGTATCGAATTGTAGGTCTTACAGGGTGCTCGTTCGCAAAGCTCGCTGCGATCATTTTAGTGATAGTGATATGGAAACCCACGGTTAACTGAAGAAATCAGTTTGGAGTAACCTTAGAAGGTAGGCTGACCTGATCTATTGGCAATGCTCATACAGCATTGACAATAACTTGAACATGTACTTCACTCCTGTGACTCAACCATCGCGGCGGTCTAAGCACAGTTCACGATGTAAATGGTTTCTGAGAATTGCACCTTGAATGAAACTGGGGTCCCCATGGATAGTGCCCGTATAACGCCCTGTCTGGTTGAAAAACGACCTCAACAAGACGTTACGAGTGTTCCAAAACCGGCTTAGCCGATGGATATGTCCCAAAAGTGGCCATGTTATGGCAGCCTTGTTGAGACTGCAACATTTTAGAAGCATTGGGACGCCGACGGGAGGGAGATACCCGAACCGTCACAGACGCCTAATCTCGTACAACTCGCTTTCCTGCTACTTTTTGAAAGCCTCGTCTTTCTAAAAATTCGCCAATTTTCGCACATTATTCCTTTTTTTCGCAGTATGTTCCACGACTAACATTTTTCCACTCAAACGAGACACCTCAGAATAAGCTTGAAGCGTGCTAAATATAAATTTGTGACGGGATTAGAGCAACTATATAAATCGGCAAGAAATATAGAGTGAGATATGGTATGAGATAAGAAATCTACGAATTATTAATGAAACTTGACAGGTTGTTCTTCAATATTATGATCAGTTGATACCGAAAACTACTGATGACCTACCGTTCACAGAATTTTGCGAATCTGAACCATTATTACGTGATTCTTAATAGAATCGTGCGTACAAAGGGACACTAGCTCTAAGCTCTTGAAATTTGAGGGAATACTTGTACCTGTTGCAGGCTGCAAGCTATTTGATATGGCTGTCATTCGGGATATTAAATCTGAACTCGTATCGGAATAAAATGGAGCTAGGAAAACAGTAAGTTATCATATGCAATGGAGCGATAGCTAAATAGCCCATGCTTACATTGAAAATTCGGTTAGAGGATAGCCTAGGAAGCTCAAAGTAGACAGAGCTCAGTTGGCCTTAGGGAGACCTAAAGGTAAGGTGAAGGTAAGCTCACAATTCCGTTCAAAACCGTACTACTAGAATCAGAGATAATGGCTGATAAAAGCTAATAGGAAAAATCCAGAGATCTCATATCGCGGGTAAGCAGCGAGGTGAGCGGAACTTGACCGACAATTCACAACCGTGTTCAGAAACATTTCAAGGTTTGATAAAAAGTGTTAACGAAATAACTTTTAGAGGAAGTCCGGAAAAGGGAAATTGGTGGTTTAGCGAAACAACTCAAACACTATGAAAAGCGAATATGCAGTTAGGTAAGCAGCATTAAAACCAATCTCATTATAAGCTCCCAAGGTGGCTTGGGAAATGATTGATACGTCATTACAATAGAATAGTGACTAACACAACGTGAGAAGCCATGAGGAAAGGAAGTGCTCGAGGTGGGAACGGTTTATGCGAAAGATATAAGATGAGTCAGCCTAGTTACTCTCAAGGATGAGGGAAAATTTAAAGTTAAATATTTTATTGCGGATATTGTTTTACTGAATGAACATAGGTACAGAAAATGATATGATACGAAACTAACTTCAAAAGCTACCAAGGGAAACCCATTTGGAGAATCATAAAGTTATTATCTAATAGCACAGTAAAAATAGTAGCACGATAGTGAACAAACTGAAATGTTTCATGAATAATTGATACATCTTCACTTCATATATATAGAAAAACTCATATAAACATCTTTTTGTTGTTTGCATTGTGATGGTCAGTAATTAGGCATCACTTCAGCAGCACGTTACATGACATATGAAAGCTCTCATTAGGTGGTCTGGGTATCAAACCAATATCCGATTGCCATTGGTAAGGTAACCCCTCGCAGTAATTCACCGAGTGTTTTCGAGTGTACATTCAGCGAGCATCTCCTAAAAGCTGGTTGTAGAATAGGAGCAGATCCATTCACTTATAATGACTAGTATGAACAGGCTTTTTTTGTCACCGCAATAACTCGAACAACCAGCAGAACATTACAGCATAGCATGCAGTTGCTATTCGATAGTTATGATAGAAAAACGCCAAACTTAAATGGAATGCGATATATGCGCAATCAATTCAAATCATGGAAATACAAGGCAAAAAAAGTAACCATAAAGCTGCATATAATCGAAATTAGTCCAAAGAAATGTTTTGCGATAAGTTCTTAGTTGTTGCAATAAAGTGTAACTTTGTAATTTATTCCGCAGAATCTGCTCTTGCACTTCTCATTTTACCTATGTTTCGAGCTCTTGGAAATTCTAAAACGTTAACTTACTTGAAAACAACATTGTTCGCTTTTGAATCCGCAATCAAAAGTCCATAGTCGACAAGGCGATCTAGTTCTCTATACACAGCCAAATCGGAGGGAACACGGACACGGCTATCCACAGTGTTTCCAATACGTCGAAAATCTACAAACAATTCTTGACAACCACCGCAAATTAGCTTTCAGTGCAAGTGAACAAAAAAATATTGGAGGATTTGTACTCAATTAATGAATACGAATAGGAACGAACTGAAGAAACGGAAATACGCTACAAATTTCGTGAGCGAAAACGAACAAACAAACTCTCAAAAAGCTTTTCACTTCAGTGAACTAAAAGCGGAATGTGCCGTTGTGTCTCCAGTTATGTCATAGCAGGATTTGTGCGAAAAAGACTTCACAGCCTGCGTTTTTGGCCCTTTTCGATGCTACAACTACAACAAGGAAGTACGACCCAGCATTCGGAGAAAAGAATTTGAGACCCAGCTACTGGGCAGAGCAAGCGCTGTGCGCACGAAAAAGGAAGTTGTGACTTTTGAATTATTCAGGTATTTCTTTTTAGAGGGTATTATGCTTAGATACAGATATTTCAGTGAAATCAACTGCTTTAAGGGCATTAAAGCAATAAATGAAGCTTAAATTACATAAAAACATAAAGAGCCGAATATTATATTTTGTTCTAAACGAAACCTTGAGCAATTTTTCTATATCCCACAGCTGTTGATACCGGGCATGACCGTAGTCGCCGATAAACGCAGAGAAGCACACACAAAGACCACAAGGATAAAGCTAAAATGGAAATTAAATATATTGCACAGTCATCATCGCAGATTCTAACTTTAATCTTCACGTATGCTCGATTTTCAAGAAATGTCAAGATGGAACACTTCCGCTCGACATTTCTAGCTTTAGGTCAGTGCTTATGTCTGCAGAAACAGGTTTTAAGATCATTAAATACAAACTAGTCAACTGCAGAAACAAAGTAGAAATACTATGAACATAGTCGTTAAACAGCAAATCCCGCTAGCAGGTCAAAAAATAGTAGTAATAAAAACGCTAATTAGAAGGAAGGAGTACCTAGGAACTGCTATGGACATCGATTGTAAAAATAAGAACAAAAATCGATAAGTTGTAGGATGCTTTCTTTTGGCAAGCCATTTTCATAGAAACGAAATAGGTCCGAAGCTCGAAAGTTGTAGGATAAGTTTTGCTGGGGACTAACGCATTACAATGTGCACTGCAAAATCTACGAGGTAATTAGGAAGTGAGTGCAGTAGGAAAATGAGTGCGAGCTTTGCTTTTACACTTCTCAAACACGTTTTTATCAACAAAGTCGTTCATCCCGAACTACGCAAACCACTACTTATGAAATTATTCTCGTTCAGCATTCATGAGAGCGAAGGAACCAAAAAAGCATCCTAATGATATAGGAGAGATCTGTAATCAAACAGTAGGATGCTCAGCAGCACATTTAAAACGCGCCGAATCTGCAGAAACAGTCATCTTCTAATGTTTGTAAACAATGATCTGTCATCAAAAAGCAGATTTCTTGCAAGGTTCACATGGTTCACATGACATCTGATACCAACATAAAAGCTCTTACATCTGACAATGGCCTCCAATGAGTGAGTCCGTGGTAAAATCATTTCTACGGCATCCGTTACAAGCTTGCTGACTGGTGTAGCATCCTCGTTTGCCAAATAAAGACACAAGAAAGCGCTTGTCACCTTTTTCAGTACAGCATAAGAGTTGTCCGTCTGAATAATAAAGCATTTCCTCTTTTTCTGTGAAACTCTTCTGGAAAATAGCGTATCGTAAACAAAGAAGAACCATGTTGCAAGAATTACTATATCGAACAATAAAGAGTTAATTCGCAGAAAAAAAACCTATGAACGTACCGAGAACAAATACTTTAATTCAGCTAAGACTGCGGTGTCCGCTGTAACTTCCATTACAAAATTTCGCCATTCTGGAAGTTAGAAAGTTCTTGTAGGCTAACTATTAAAGATGCGTGGGGGGTCACATGTTATTGTGAAAGATCACAATTATCACAAAATCCTGTCTGTGTCATAGAAAGCGCTCACCTTTAGAAACCTCCGGATTCTCTTTACCAAGGAAACTTCCGAACGCCTCAATATATTCATCCAACGAACTAGCCGGTTGGAAAACTATCCGAGCCATGGATAATCGAGATCGAACTCTTTTTTCCAAAGACGTGATGAAGTTCTTAAATATGTCACATTGAGCAAAAAAAAANAAAAAAAAAATTCCTTGCTATCTAGCCCAATTAAAATGGGAAAATCTACATCATCAAACCTGGTTTTGCACCATCAGAAACACCAGCCATTGATGATCGCTGCCTTTTCTTGTCGTGTCCAAAAGTAAATAAAGTAACGACTGTCGCTGGCGTGCTGCCAACTCGTCTGCATCTTCAATTATCAGTATGCAACTCTGCAAAACCATATGCTTTTAAATTCCACCGAGGAAACACGCACATTTGAAAAATGTAAGAATCTGAAGAAGAGAATGCTGCACGAAAACGGCGAAAACGTAGTCAGGAAGGGGAGGGGCATTCACTTCTTGACCTTTTCGTCTCCAGCTCTAAGCGTCAAAGCGTCAAAGCGTAGAGAAGGAGGGATAAACGGCTAAGTAGGCATGTAATGGAGCTTAAGCGTCTCTTAGCTAAAGAGGGTACAGTTTCTTGCCTAAGCCGTAGATGGGAAGGAACACCAGCGTAGGTAAGATGCCTATACAAGCAATATACTGGAATAGAGATGAGCTGAAAATTCAATTCACCAAAAAAGCAAAATTACGTAAGCGCATCTGATCGTGAGTAGAGTGGTTCCCCAATACTAGACTTTCATCAAAGACGTTAGAAAAAAGTTAAATCTTATAGAAGGCCCAATGCATCAGAGTTCAGATCAGATCATCATCAAAAACAATCAGGCCGAAGGTAAACAACAACACTTATTACTACAGCAGATGCTTTACTTCTTTTCCCAAAATTTCTCACCAAGCACTAAGCTTTCAATAGAAGCATACCTTGAGGTCTTCGCCATCCGTTAGTAACTGCAGCGTATTTTTTTCGGAACCAATTTGAGCTAAAATTTGTCAGTTGTCAGGAGCGTGACACATCCATAAAACAAATGGAAAAGCTACTCACCCACGCTTACCACAATCAACTTCGCGCTAAGCTCAAACTCTTCGACGGCATTTTTCACAACGGTTGTACGACCGCTTTCACCCCTACCAACAACCACACAAGCGTTTCCTTCACCACTCGTCGCAAAGCGGCTAACAATACTTTCTAGAGCTCTGAAAGCATAAATGAGAGCTATAGAAAGATAGATGGCACTAGTTCAGAAAAACATGAAAACGCAAAAAACCTACTTCTTTTCCTCGTCGGCACCAGAGATGAAGCATTTCATATCGTCGAGTACCTTCCGTGCAGATTCTCGCAGATCAGATACCATCGTTTTCGGCATGTCTGAACTGCTTTGTGGCTCCTAATCAGAGAAACATGTGCAGCATTTGAAAATTCCAGTTTCCCGCGCGTGAAAGTTTGAGTCCTCGCAAAACTACGGACTAATACGTGGGTGTGTGTCAAGTCGTGCGTCCGAGGGTGCGCGCGGCAAATTGCGCGGCGAAGTTCGTGGCGAATTCGAGCGACTCCGGCGCCTATCATTGGGGCCCAAATCTGAAGTAGGGTAGATTAATAAGGTCAGCTGATCCTGCTATTCTACTGTACTTCAAAATTGGGCCCAAGTAATAGGCGCTAAAGTCGCCAGAATAGGTATGGGTTTCGCCGCGCAATTTGCCGCGCGCACTCTCGGACGCACGACTTGACCGTCCCCCACCAATACGTGCCATGGATTCGTGCTGCGAATGGTTTACGGGTAATTAGTGATTTTCTGTGAATTATGGAACTACCTGTACATTCAAAAACGATGACAATCTTGCAACACATGGGGAAGACTCGGAATTAAGTGTATGGTGTCTAAAGAAATGAGTCCGGGCAGTGCCTACACCTATCGGATTCGGGGATGGAAATAGGCTTTGAACCGCATGATAATCGTGCTGTCTTAAGCAGGCCTTATTTGTGCCATTCCGGGCCACAATGGTAAACTGTTCTTTTATTCACGGTACCCAACATGAGCAATAGACAAGAGTTTCCAAAAAGCTAACCAATTAGTTAACTTCTTAATGTACCAAAAACCAGTGTAATTATGAAAATACTTCACAATAACCGGTTTCTAAAAGCCCTTCACTAAGCCCTGGAAGGCTCTTTTTGTCTGGAGAAAAGTACCTCTCGCCCTTAATGTAAGAGCATCATTGGTCGGAAATAATGGTCTTGATAGGACAAAACCGACATTGTGAAAGTAGGAAGCGCAGATATTTCGGGACAAACCTTAAACGCCTCAATCTCCTTTTTCAGCATTGAATGGAGTTGAACCAAGACAGCCAATAAAGGACCTAGAACAATGTACAGCTAAATGCTGACAGATGTTGGCATTGAACCATGAAGCTTAAGCGAAATTCGATTTTGAAAACAAAGCTCCTCCGAACGGGAATTCAAAAAGTTCCATTACACTGCACATGTATGCTCTACGAGGTATCGCCCGCAGCTTAACAGACCTCAACTAGTAGAGTCGTGTATTTGGATAGCACAACAGCGCTATTTCATGCTATACAGCACCCAATTTCGGTAGGAATTTCATAGTCCGAAAATTCTACAAAACAATAGTAAACCATTACTGGGATTCATTATTTGCTCGTTATTACGTCCTTCATTTGAATGGCGGAGAAATTGAGCCGAATCACGGCAGCTTACCCGAAGCCTCACCACTGCACATCGTTCGAAAATAAGACGAGTCGCAAATAGTTCATTCGATAGGCGTTAATTGCAAAACTCATGACTGTCTATTTTTTTTTTGAAACGCTACATAATGTTTTGAACTTTGCCGAAAATTGAAATCGTTCCTCAGGCAGAATGACTTGTTGTTGAGCACCAGAAACGTACGTTGGCAAAAAAGGAACCGAAAACCTTACTCACTCATGCTTATTGCAACAGAAGCGCTCTTGTAGCAGACTGGCTGAAGCAACTTATCCTACATTTCCCAAAATCATCCAAACTGCGACTCACAAGAGATCTTGCAAAAAACACATATATTTATTTGATAGACTGCATAAAATTCCCAACTGTTAAAGTGCGAATAAAGAACGAATAGAGCGAAATCGATTGAACAGACGTTTGTGAAATCCCCTATAGCAGTAATGAGAAAATGAAAAAACCTGTAAGAAAACAAAATGAAAGCGAGCTATCCTATTTCAAAATACATGATTCAAATCTAAATAATACACCACATCATATAATGATAAGAAATCTAAATAACAGCTGATTAAATATGAAAAATTATACAGTAACAAATTAATATTTCATCGAGTAACATGACTAATTAGGTAGGATAGATATATAACGCGTAATAAACGTTCAACGAATACATGCATGTGACAAGGGTGCGAAATTAGAAATACTACTTACAATAAAGAAAACTCTATCAATGAATAATAAGATAACGTAAAGGGGTTCGACAAGCACCGAGCATGATAATAACCAAAATTGAAAACATCGCACAGCACGGAATGTATAGGCGTAGATGTCAAAACATAAATATTCGTAGCTGTACACACCACAGCCAATGTGGTCTACTCATTAGATTGACTCTTAACTTTCGGTAGGAAAGCACAGTCAAAAATTCCAAAAGGGACGCATTGAAGCAGAAATGGGCAATGGTAGACCCACCGGCTGTGCAAAACGAGATTTTACGCCAGATACTCAATATTCAAGCAAGTTATGCTCGTTCCCAGTAACAAATTTCTTGAGTAACTGACATAAATTACACCGTCAAAGCACATTTTAACACTAGAATCAATGGCTAGACGACTAACTTGAATGCTCCATAAAAACAAATATGGTGAAAAGTAATAATAAAAATGGGACAACTGGTACAGCTACACAACGGTACGGTGAGGAACCATGCAACAAAATGGAAACGGAAACACAAAAATAGAGCAAAAATCTCGTGTAATGTCCCACGCCGACGCTCCCTCTCTTGAATAAAAGAGAGAAACAAAATGGAGCCGCGCGATAGAAGATAATGAAGAGAAATATGGGAGAAAGAGTGGGAAGTTTACCAAAATATAAGTTTACAGCTAATGCGCTCGGCGCTCTAAAACCAAGTCTTCGAGGGTTGCAAGTTGCGCATAGTATTACCAATCAATCTGTGAGCCCAAACTCTTCAACTGGTATATACTACTAGGTGGGAAAACAACACTACAAAAATGTCATAAACACTAAAAAACTATTTAGATGAGACACTGCATAAGTGAAGGACAACGCCAGAATAATGATAATATTACTACCGAAAAAAAAACCATCTAGGCAAACTGCTTAATGTGAGCAAACGATGAAAAGGAGCCAAACCGAACACCGAAGAAACCAATTCGTAGCTAACATAGTACCGTATGAATGCGAAAGATTTGTGCCCAATCAAATAAATATACTTTGATTCGCATAAATTCATCTACAACCTCCTGAACTCTCCCAAGCCAATAGTTTTGGACCTCGACCATATGTTAAAGTATTGGGGACCCAAAATGAATCGGTTCAGAAACAAATAGCAGTCCGCCTTATGCATACCAGTTCTCCGAACTTGAATGGTTTGAAAGGTCAACAACAGATTACTTAAGTTTTCCTATAAGAAGAACTTCGACATTTCGAGAGTTCATAGGTTGAGTCTACGGAAAAAGGAGATTACCTATGGAGATATAAACACGATACACATTAACATGAGAAAATTATATATGCAAGCGTACATAAACCACTAACAGACCCGCATTATACTAACTCGGGATAATTCGCCCCACAAAAAGAGATCGACACGCTAGCGAAGAGGGCATGAGCAAAGATGCTAGAGCTAGAAGAACATGAAGCAAGAATATGAATTTGGATGGGCTGATGATTTCTGAGAAGCGCACCGTCAGTGAGGATCACTGGATGGCTCGAATAGAAAGCATCAGTCAAGGAAATTGCATTAACAAAAATTTTAGAAACATACAGGAATTATAAAATGTAGTGATTTAATTCGATGAAAACTAGATTTTCAAACCCTCTGATGTTGCAGGCATATCAATTTCAAATCCAGGTCGGAGTTCAACGGATGTAGAGTGGTTTGAACACAAAAAGGGTGTGGTTATGTTTGCACAAAGTGACAACATGGCCGCTTCCAGCAACACGTAGGCCAACACAGCGAGAGAGCTGCAAAAAATAAATGCTACTTGGTTCAAGGAAAGCCAGGACTGACATCTGAGACGAATGGGTACACCTAAAAACCAACCCAACCCCACAATAGTTTGCCTGGCCGCTTCTTGAAACCTCTTCTACAGGGTGACCCACATGAAGTGTGACACAGAAAAATAACAACAAAATTGTTCAAATCAAATCAAATTAGAAAAATTTAGTACTATACAAACATCATAAAATTGTAAACATAATATCACATCTAGAATTCAAAATGTCTTCCTTTGGCTTTGATGCAAGCGTCCAACCTCTTTCGGAAGTTTTTAAGAATGCGCGCAATCATTTCCGGCGAAATTTCATCCCACGCTTCCAAAAGAGCTTCTTTCAGAGATTCCAAAGACCAATGTTCGATAGTGCAGGCTTTC